TCCCTCTGAAGTCATAATAATATCACACCTATGTTATACGTACTCTCCAATATAACATCATTTATAGTGTACATATAAAAGAGGAGGAGACACCTGTTTGTCCAACGTGAAGCCGCCAAAGTAAGACCATTTGGTATTGTCCAACACTACACGCATCTGTAAACAAACAACAAACCACCCAACACGGAGACTCCTCTCCACCTCACTGTAATTCTCATTCTCATCATCACCCACTTTCCTCCATCCCCTCCAATCTTTCTTTCTGCTAATTGTTATTGATTTTCCACTCCCACTCACCTTTGCCTTTGATGATCTTCTCTCTACAATCTTCCTCGTTTCTGCTTTTCCAAATCTCACTGCTCTGACCCAATTGCTTGATCTCCTATCGAGTTTCATTAATGACCTTGACACACCCATCGTACAACTCTCCATTCTTTTCATATATATATATATATATATGAACAACCTGAAATCAGATATACATAAATATATGATGGTCGAAAACCATTATGATTAAGAGATGGCTTTTAAGACAGGAAGAAGAATAAGCTCAGGGAGGAGCAGGAAACGTGTAATAAGAAGCAAAAGTTAGGATGGGGCAGGTGATATGTACAGTTTTATATTTTATATAGACAAGTTTAAGGCACTGTTTGGATTATTTCTTTCTCTTTTTTTTTTTTTTTGGTCAAAGCAAGCTACTATTTGGATTATTTATCAATTCTTTTCAACACCAATAATTTGTTGATCCTGTACTCAACTACCACACACGATCGCAAAATCTTATATTAATCCTTTTTTATTTTTATATTCTCATACGGCAAGATATGTTTTGTGAAATTATTTTTTTCCAATTAGGTAAACAAAAAAAAAAAAAAAAGCTCACGTTAAGACTAAAAGATTTACAGAAAAAAAAAAATTACGGCCTTGACATGACAGAAAATAAAGTTTGCTTTTATAAACCAGTTTAAATTATGCTTACTTTAATCCAGGGTGAATTCAATAAACATTAGAACAACCAAAATTTTCAGATAAATCTTCAAAAACTTCTGGTTTAAGAAAAAAATCAATTAAAATTTTTTATGTTAATTCTAAAAAAACTGAAATTATTATATGTGCAAACACCAATGACTATTAATTCTAAAAAATAACTCAACATCATTGACTCCATCGATTATGATTAATTAATGGGATTGCATGATATTACTTTCCCAAATTAAATTAGAGGATTCTAAATTAAACTACATTTTTTTTTTTCCAAAATAAGGTTAATTTCTTTTTCCAAATTAGTTTCCCGGTTTCCACTTTATGCGGGTAATAAAATTTCCAGAGAATCCCATTAAGGAAAAATTAAACTCTTCATTGCATGCCCAAGAATTGTCTAATCTAACGGCTAAAAAACGACAATAAACGAATTAATAATTCATCACAGACCGTCGGCTTATCCCAAAAGAAGATT